TTCTAAATATGCATTCTATATATTTTTTTTTCGGACAGAGTCATTCAAACCCTGAAGGAACAAGGTATTCTACGTTTAAGTTGTTGCCAGAATATTTTATTCTTCGTCTGATTTTTGGATTTAATTATTTCTTCCCCTGTAAGCTCAACATGTTGACTTTTCTATACAAAAAATTCTGAAAGATATTCATAGAAGTTTATTCTGTAATTATTCGGGAACAATGACTGTGATTAAGCAGTGGAATTATTATTATTCGTACAGTGGACCACATCTGACGTCATCGCGTTCCATATTAGTAGGTTTTCGGGACTCGAACCAGGATTTTTGTAGGACTATTTAGTGATAGGACTTTTGCTTTCATTCTTAGGCTCACATCTTGGAATATATTCACAGGCTGTAAGTCATATTTACCAATTTTGCATTGCTGTCTAGGGAAATAAATTATATTTTAAAAATATACAAAGCTTGATGGCTTTCACTTGTTTCTATGTTACCAAGTACAAAACCGTGTCACATAACAGTATACTAATAAATAAATATTGCAAGAGCAGATACGTAAAGAAATGCTGACTGACTGTTTTATTATTCAAACGAAAATCAAACACTCTGATACTAATATGTTTTAATCTCTATACTTTGAACTATTTACATTTTTTCAAATCTGATATCTCGACGTGGCAAAACCCCCCATATTTGCTTATAACTTGTCCATAGTTTTGGCTAGGTCTATGACACCTAATAAAATGAAATATACTGGGACAGTGATTTTTCTGTACTCAAAGTTCTTCAATCTGTCTTCCCTGATAACATTTACTTTGCCTCCAATAGACCAATAGTTAAAGCAACCCCTTCTCTGCTGTATGCTTTTAAAATACGTTTTGAAGACAAATATCCTACACCACAGCTCATCTATGGAAAACTAGGATTACAGGTATTCACTAATTGAAACTGTCCTCTGTATGTACCGTACTAAATAACCGACATGTGCATACATGTAATTTATGTATAAACTCTGTTCCGAAAGGTCAGACAGGAGTTATGTCGTATACAAAGAGAAAAACAAATTGAAGATGTCCTTCGAGGACAAGATACATATATCATGTTTTCCGTGCACTCTGTATCATTTTAAACGGAACGTTCAAGTAAAATAATCTCATTTTCAGCAGATAACCTTGGAAAAGCTGTTGCAGTATTGTGGAGACTCGTGTAGAGTTTAAGACGTTCATTCACTTTTTCCTCTTCCTTGACTAAAATCTTGGGTTCTTATTCGAATAATTCCTTTTTTTTATTTGAAAACCAGAGACATATCATTTACATCAGTTCTCCTTATTGCTTGAAAGTCTGATATGTTTCATAGCAACACTTTTCCTCTTATTTTTTTGAATACCTAATATATTTTATTTCAATAATTTTCTGTCTTGCTGAAGGTCAGAGATATTTGTTTACAACAATTCTGCTCTATTTTGTATGAAAGTCACGGATTTTTCATTCAAAAATTGCAATTTTGCTCTTTCCTGTCAGACATTTATGAGTTGTGTTCTTATGTATAGAAACAGTATAAGTTTTTTTTCTGACAAATAATGGAAGTGGTGTTTGGAAAACAAGGAATCTTTGTTTGGAAAACAGGATAGACTCATCTACGTAGGGTACAAGCCACAGACTTGTCATATGCAATACTTGATGGATTCGTGAATACTAGATGTCTCACTGAAAGAAAAAAAAATGATGTGCTCGTAACATACGGGCATTCTTTATAGGAAAATATTATCGCCTAGCATCTCTTGTAATAATATTACAACCGTAAATTCAAGCACTTGCACAACTTAAAACTATAAAAGGAGAACCAAATTAATATGAAGCTTAAAGTAAAGAAAATATTTGATATTAAAAAAATACCTGTAAAACTCGGTTATTCAAAAACAAAGCAAGAATGGACCAAGCTTTCAACAACTATATTTTCAGAAGAGAATGCTCATATATAAGTTAGGTGATAGAAAATCATCCCTTCGAAGGTTTTCCCAGCTCTGCAACCAACATCGAGTAAATCGGACAATGAAGGTCAATATCCGAAGATAAAGGTCGATAACCAAAGATAAATGCCAATATCTGAAGATTATAATCAATAACTAAAGATGAATGTCGATAGGTAAAATATTTTGGTTGATTGTTACCGGAAGATAACAAGAAAATGATCAAGAATAAAGATTGCAGAGCTAATTTTGAAAGGATTTTAAAGTTATTGATACATAAGTGTTGAACCTCGTTGGTTTTATTAGTTCTTTCTGGACATGGAAGTAAAGTTTCTAATCTAAGAACACAACGAGAAACCAGACTGAGTCCCATTATTCCAGTGAGATACTAAACTAAATAAACAGGTAACGACGATAGGTGCAGCCTCACACGAGATGAAATTTTAGATCGAACTATGCGAGTGATTTCGAAGCTGACATGAACGATACTAGACCAATGCTCCCGTGTCTACTCCAATTTTAAGAGAATTTACCCTAAAAGAAATTCGTTTGGTAGTTCTAGAAAAGAACCTTCTAGAGAAGACAAACACGCACTTCCATAAAATTTAAAACTACAACTTAAACATACACGGTCAATTTCAAGAGGTCATGTCCAAAAGGACGCCTCAGAAAGTTTAATGTCTTCACCGATTTGTGGAATTTCCTAGATAGATTTAACGAAACAACAACGCCATGTTCAATAAAGATGATCCTTTGTAGGCTGTACATTCATCCGGACAGTGTACAATTATCCATCTGGATCGGTTTACCACACCATATGAATTGACACCGTATAAAGCCACCTGGATCGCTTTATCACACCATATGAATTGACACCGTATAAAGCCAAAATTAATTCAACAAATACAAAGTTATATTGGTAGGCGACATTCGCACCACAAAACCAAAAGTCTTTCAAAATTAATACTCAATGATATCGTGGTAGCACGAAAGTAGTCCGACAAGAAGGAAACCTTAGAATTGAAAAGCATCGGAAAAGCAGTATAAAATGAAACAAAGTCCATGAACGAAAAGAAGTAGAGCTTGGCATTCCTGAAATACATAGACTTCATAACTTATTGACACTAAGCTACACTTTGAAAGTGCACCCAGAAGTGGTTCCCGGACCTCTGGTGTTTCGAGGGCCATAAATGCACGTCTATCATTATCAAGATGATTTCGATGCCATTACAAGTTTCGCCAGATTTAGCGATACAAGTAATCTTGTGAGAAATGTCACCAAAGGTTTTAAAGTACGACCCAAAACATTGATTGCGGAGATAGAAGCCAGAGTTATATTTCGTCAAAACCTGTATTTTCGAAGGAAAGGGAGTAATTAATTATTCTTCTTGTACTGTTGTAGTACTAAGCGTTATAAACAACATCTCATAACACAAAATGGAAAAGTGCTTGGTTTTTCCCTGCCTGTGAACATATCTCACAAATAATGCCAAGCCACAAATTTATCCCTTAAAGAACGGATGACGTTTTTGTTACCAAAATGTAGACTTGATCATCGTTGCTATATTCAAAAATACAACCCTAAGGCGGAGAAAGGTGTCAAAAATAAGGAATAGACACAAACTGGATTTCATATTTTTATTACGCATGTACGCAAGAGACTGGTATTTATATTTCTAATTTCTCCATAATTCATCCGGCTTGCGAAACGTGCATCCAATAACTTCGACTTTCCCAATTGTAGCAAGATTCCAATCTCACAATTTTTCCCAATCAATCTTATTCCCTATTGATGACACTTGAAACGAGGAGAACATACAACGTTACGTAGAACGTCACCATTATGCTGTTGTGCTGACCTACAATTTCTCTAAACATGATGTGCAAAATATTCTGAAATATTATCTAGAACTAGGCACTAATGCTACCAATTCATTATGAACGAAGCCAAAAATCATCAAAGTGCAACATGAAAGTGAGGTTTGCACAGTTTAAAGATTCCATGAGTTAATTGGCAATGCCTTTAAGTTGAATGCTTTTACCATTTGAATGACACAATGGCCAAGGGGTATTTGGTACAATTGTTCAGTACCGAAGCCAATCAAAACAATGTTCTCCGATGCCCTGACGCTCATTACTACAACACCGACAATACGTACACCATGCGATGGAAAGCCTTCTTCGTTTTGTTCCACACTTACTCTTCCAACCCCTTCGACTTTCAGGAGAAATATTAAAACATTGGTGACCTGGACATTATACACCGAAGGTGGGACATTACTGCAGTATTTTATGGAGCACGGAGAGCGTGTTCATATGTGTAACGCGATAAATTCATGTCGTAGAACACACAAGCCATAATACCCTCTCAAACATAGCAGTTCATCAACTGTCGATACTTTGCCAAAGCTCTACGTTAATTGCAGTTCTGCACGAAAGAGAAGAGAAATGGATTCAATATACCTAAAGCGGGGTCGAAAAGAAAATTGGAAGTTATTCGGTGGATAGCTGAGATTAAAAATACCTCAAGATCATCTGCGAACATCATGGAAGCAAATTTCACGATGTCCTTCCTGTTAAAGGGAATATGCATAAAAAGTTCCTTCACTGAAGACTTGTACGAGAAAATGTACCAACGACACCTGAAGTTTGAACACCAAATGAATCGAGGAGTAGTAGAAATTCTGTATCACGTGTACAATCGACGCTCAAAAACCAGTCCCGAGCTTAGCGGCATTGTTTAAAGTTACGACGTGGTGTGGGGGTCAGGAGAAGAAAGCTTTTCGTGTTAGATGCACTTGGGAAGACTAATAATTTTTGTTCCTTTTGACTTAGCATTATTTCGTTCCCGTCACTGTTTTAATTTAGTGTGTATCTATGCCATGGTAAGAGGGTCATTATTCTTTTTTAATATCTACATTGTTTATATTTCAGATTTGCCCTCTTTTTCCTATCTTATTTATAAATTCTAGGATGTCATTATATGTCCTCCTTAACCTTTTGTTTTTGGCCTCATATAACTCCTTAACCGCTCCGGTGGCCTAGTGGTTAGAGTGTCCACCTAGGATGCGGGGGACGGGTCGCGAGTTTGACAGCTGCCTTGCTTAGTGCTCAGCATTAAGAAGCTAGTGTTAGGACTGGTCGTCCTGGTGTCAGGATAATGTGACTGGGTGGCACATTACGCTTCAAGTCTATGGTAGAAGTCAGTACATATTGCCACACTGCAGACATCGTAGCGATAAAACTGAATATTTTTTCAGCTATGTTATGAATCCACATCACACACACACACACACACACACACACACACACACACACACACCTAATTCCGGGTATGTGCTACGTTCTTCTATGTTTGTTCTGCTTGGCTTGTTGATCTGCCTTTTGTATGTCGTAGTGAGAGCAGATGTTTGTCACATGTTCGAGTGTTTCCGGAGTCGGGCAGTGAGGGATGTTTGTGTTTGTCCTGCACATCCTGCAAATAGGGTTCTACCTATCCCTATCTTATTACAGTTGTATCGTTTGTAAGTCGGGTACTTTTTGTAATTACTTCATTTTCTCTATCCATGCAAATTCTACTTTTTATCGGTCAGCCCTATTTGTTTGAGTATTCATCTTGCGTAGTTTATCATATTGAGTCTACTATTTGACTGGTTGAATGCAAAGGATTGATGGACACTGTACGAGTTACTCAGAATTATTGATTTTGGTATTGCATTTACTTTGATGAGGGTCAGCGCTCACATTATAACCATTAATTCCACAGTTTATATGGCACATGTGTCTGGCAGTCTTTATCCAAATGCAATACGTGATTGGGGATAACGATATTTGTGGCCGTTTAATTTTGGATTTTTTATATTTTAGACCAGTCTGTGTAGATTTTGATGTAGCCTCGTACTTGTTTTCTATGTAATTGAGAGCTATTGTCTTAGGTTTAAAGGTTTGTTTTGTTAACTTCCCAGTTCTCGGAGTTTGAAATTTGGGGCGTTGGGTAGTTTGATCGGGGTAAGATAAGGTCTTGATAGTGGGATTTTGTTTCTGGTTTGATGTCCGGGATTTATAAATCCCTTCTAATATCGGCTATTATTTTTTCCGCAAGGTATTTTATTTTTCATTTCTTTGCAGAATAGTTTGTTGCACTTTACAAGGGCCTTGAGTGCCAGGTGGTTATTGTCATGAACTGAAAATAGTAAAGCACTGAAAAACCATTTATATTCTATTTTTTTATTGTTTTAGTGTGAGTTCTCAATTTGTATTTGAACTTCTTGTGTTGGTGTGCCGTTAAGTACTCAATAACACGCGCAGATTGGACTGTCTATTGTCCGGAGTCATGTAGAGGTTGCTAATCTATAGACTTGACAACCGTAGTCATGTTTGGCCCTTCTTAGAGCTCTGTAGAGGCTTACAAGTGTCCCTTGGTCAACTCCCCAGTTGGTGTCTCTGAGGTTGCGGAAAAATGTTGATATCCTGACTGTACCGTTTATCAAGGTCTTTTATGTGCTCACGAGAGTTCTCCATTTATAATCTTTTTTACGAAAGTTACTAGGTTTTCTCACTCAGGTACTGAGGGTTAGTTTTGGAAGGATGGTTTGTTTTTGTCCTGAGGATTTAAACATTATGCCAATGGTCTTTAATGGTGCAACTTGTCTGACCAGTTTCCTGTTTCGTTTGGACCTGTTTGTAGATGTCGGGTTATTTTTCTGCTTATCGGCTTCCTTTCTTTCCATATACGGCAGTCATCGGCAAATTGTGTTGTCAAGGTGTTTAGGATCAATTGCTTTTTTTTCCAAGTCGTTTAAAAAAGTTAAAAAATGTCGGACTAATTACACTTCCGTGTGGAGTGCCGTTACCCAATGTATGTTGTTCAGAATTGTCTTTTCCAATGCAGACCTATTTTTGTTATCAGTTAAGAAGTTGGCTATCCATCTGAACCTATTGTCAGTTATTCCATGGTGTTTAAGTTTCTGTATCAACCCTTATATACATGTGACATAACTAATTCCCCTAACTTTCTAAAGAAGTTCTAATTAGATTGTTCAAACTTCCATTGTGGTGGAAGTGGCGTATTTGTGGTGTTCTGAGTTGCATGTCGTTATTTATGGAAAAGTGGTCTTAGCCTAGTGCGTCTTTCTGGTCTAATTAGTCGATAGCCCATGTTTGTCCTGTTATATCGTCTATTTGAATATGGGCTCCGTTATAGCATTACCAAATTAAATTGTATTGCCAATTTTGCCATACTCTTTCCTTTGGTGTTAGATATTGTGCATCCCCATAGCTCATTACAACGTTTAAATCTCTGTACGTTAGAGCCCATTCACCAATTTATTTCGTCAATATAGTAAAATCGTCTATGGCCATGCTTCGTTGTTAAAATATATTACTGTCCAATGACTTTTTTTAAATCTAGAAAGGTGTACAGCATTTAAGTTGTGTAAATTTGTAAGACTCATCTCGTATAAATTCATAGTGGAGTGTATATTTTTCTTGAATTAAATATGTACATTTAATTTAAATAAAAATTTATATTACACGAAATTTATAAATACCGCGTATATGATGTCACTTGTTTAAAATGCTTTGTTTTGATAGAAAAGTTAAAATGCACAACAAGAATGGCCCGAGTAATGGACGAACTATAAATCATTGTTTAAAACTGTTGCTTTTATTGAATGATGTTATAAAGGCTATTTAGCTGTGCTGTCTAGACCACATTATTTGGCACAATACAATGTTAAGTACATCACTAATGCCATGTAAAACTGGCATATAAATGTTACGTGCATGTTTATCTATTGTTGATTTACTTTGTTTTCCCTTTCGTCACGTTTGTGACCTGTGCAAAATAAATAGCAGTGTATATTGTCTATCGTGGTGAGGAACTCATCTGACACCGTGCACACCATTGTGTTTTTAATTATATTGGGGTTTTATGTCCCCGAAAGGCATTTCCAGCGGGTCTTCGTTACATGTTACTCAGCTATCTGGTTTATGCCTATCAACAATTACCGAACTAATTTCCTCTGTGATTTGAATTCTCATACATTCCAGGGTCTAGCAGGAGGATAAATGTACACACAAATATTTCCTTCACCCATATTTGCACATGATGTTTCTTGCCGCGGAGCCTATCAAATTTGAAATAAAACGAAAAACAAAAATCTTGAAAAAAAGACAAAGAGCAACCCTGCGAAATTAAACACCAATAAATAGAAATAAAATGGAAAGGGAACCATAACACAACATGGGGGAAACTCTTTAGAAAACCAGTGTCACTACCAAGCCCTTACCAGCTATGTTTGCTGGGACGAACGAAGTGGTGTCAACAGGAAAGAAACAAAACCATCTTAAAACAAAAACTGGGTAACAAATAATTGTCGATCTCATATATTGTGGTGTATGTGTAACAACATCAATCCTTTGTTTAGAATGTTAGCAATCCCTATACAATTATTATTTGGAATGTTAAATCTAAAATTAAAGCTTAAAGTTAAAATATTCCATCCCAATCTACCTAAACGTTATTGGCATAATCTCAAAGCATACTATAATTTCTGCACTATGATATACATTTCTTAAATATGTTTAACTGATAAGTCGCTTCCCATTATATTTAAAATCTTCGATTTCTTTCAAACTACACAGATATTACTATAACTTTATTAGAAATGTTAAAACACCTGTTTAGAAGTGTATGTTTGGTGACTCTTAATATGTGACAATTCTGTCTACTATTAATACTTAGAATGGTCTCAATACAACTATTTATACTACTAAAACTACTAACACTACCACGAAGACGACAATGACTGTTACTATTTTCACAATAAAAACAGCCACTACTACTATGACAACGATGACTACTACTATATTATTACTGCTACTACAACCTCGACTTATACTGTTTTCACTACAACTACTACTACTTTTGTTACAAATACTACCACTAATGATATTATTGTTACTATAAACACTACTGCTAATACTATTTTTTTCTAAAACAACTACTATAACTATTACTACTACTATCAATGAGTTATTATTATAAATGGTATCAACATTGCAACCAGCACCTGTTCACGACGATGATGAATATGATGACCACGACGATGATGAATATGATGACCACGACGATGATGAATATGATGACCACGACGATGATGAATATGATGACCACGACGATGATGAATATGATGACCACGACGATGATGAATATGATGACCACGACGATGATGAATATGATGACCACGACGATGATGAATATGATGACCACGACGATGATGAATATGATGACCACGACGATGATGAATATGATGACAATGCTATTACCATTGACTTCGTTGTTACTGGTATGATGGACATCAATAAAACAATAAACATTACTTATAATGATGACGGTAGTGGTGTGCTGGTATTGACAGTTGTAGTAGTAATAGTAGTATATCATCACAGTTGTTACATTTACTCTGAAAAACGATAAGAGAGAGAGAGAGAGAGAGAGAGAGAGAGAGAGAGAGAGAGAGAGAGAGAGAGAGAGAGAGAGAGAGAGAGAGAGAGATGTATTAAATACATTTAGTCATCAATGATACAATTATGTATATTTAATTTGCATTTCTTCTTGGCTTTTCTCAATAATTACATGTTATGTACGTTTGTATTTTTGCTTTACCATTGTTTTTAAAATAAAGTTAACGGTGTATATGACCAGTGGTATTTATTTTGTAAACAACATAATACATAGGTAATATTTCTCTATAAGTAGAGTTTAAATATTCAAATCTTTATAAATTATAGTAAGCATGCTTATTTTTATTTGAATGTAGGACATTACCCATTCACTCCAAATTCCTGAATTTGTCGACAAATTTGAATGTTTAAGGAAGGAAACTGACCTACATCTTGGCTTTGTCATTGTGTCTTACCTTTTCATATAATGCCGTTTGCTTGAAAAATTTACTCATTCGTGTCTTAATATCTGAGTCGGAATCAGTCTAATTGCATTTAGCTTTTAATTTGGTTTGAGTTATTTATTCAAATTAATATCGACTGGAATTGCTAGGACTATCTGGGATTTAACTCACAATAATTAATGTTCTCTTTATCCTAAATTTT